GCCTGTTGACGCTTATAGTTTATTAACAACATTACTCACGCTAGTTGCTCTTTTGGTATGAGTGTGTGCGCAAACTTTCCAAACCCAGTGTTGACTCCATAGACAACTGCAATGAAAAAGTAAACACACTGTTGTGAAATAAGTCATGTTTCAGTAATTCCAATGAGGATATGCAGAGTAAACAACACACCTTTGCCTTCTCTTATAAAAGCATCAATAAGCTCTCTGCACTTAATGGCTTTCTCCTCAGCCTCAGGCGTTAACTGTGAGGAAAGCAAACCGCAAACATTAGTCTGTCGGTATTTCATTTGAAAAAATATCTGGGACTTTTCTCACCTTTATTTTGAACAAGCCTTGCCCCAAGTCGACCAGAGCAGCTGTGGTCAGACTGTTTCCATCCAGCTGAATGTACTGAGAGCAAAAAACAAACAAGAATACAAAGCTGCTTTCTGTAGTGGACATTTTTTAAAGAGTCCTCTCCTGCTGATGTTCAGGTGTCAGTATTTAGTGTCTCTACTGTGACATGTCTCCATGCTTTAATGTTCAAAAAGCTCTTTATGTTTACCTCTTTTCACCCTCTGTCTGAAACCAGAGCCCAGTCTGCTCTGATTGGTTAGCTGGCCGGCTCTGTTGTGATTGGTCAACCGCTTATGGCGCATTTCCACTGCAGCGCGTAGCACGGTTTAAGCGTGCCGTGCCAAACCCGGCCCGTTTTTTGTTGCGTTTCCACTAGGGGTAGTTCCGGCTAACGGGTACTTTTTCACCTTTTTTTTGGCTCTCCAAAATCGTGGTTCTTTCCGGGCCAACAACCGGGCTGAGTATGCTAAACTAGTGACGTGAGTGGCTACAACTACAACACAATGAACATATTTGACCGTGATTTAATTGTAATACACGTTTCAAAATGATGCCGAAGTAACAACATACTGATACCGGTTAGTAAAAACCATGAATTAATGCTTTGACAAGTCTGCAGACAGACGGCAGGCGATACACCTTTTAAAATGCGTGTTTTCTGAATGGAGATCGGCTAAGCTAACGTTGTATATGCTCCGACCGTCCACACTCACAACAACGGCCTACAGACATAAATAAACCAGCGACTGTATTCGCCATGACACAGGCAGTCTGTGGTTTGTACTTGTTTAACTTCTGTCTAGTTTCTGAACAGATATGAGAAGCTGTGAGCTCTGAGGGCTAACAGCTAACGGCTGATGTTGGTTTTGTGGTTCACATTGAAGATGACGTCACGGCTCCGCCTACACTGCGTTACTATAGTTACTGCCCCAGTTCCTAAACTGTAATGGAAACGCAGCATAAAGTGAGCCTGGCCTACCAAGGCCTAACTATACCGTACTAAGCCGAGCGAGGCCCTGCAGTGGAAATGCGCCATTAGAGATGTCCCGCCCCTTACCTTAGCCTATCACATAAGAGAAACAGTCTCTGAGGGAAACTTAAGCGCAGACCATTTACATGCACACAAAGCTGTATAACATACTACATGAAACGTTAAACCCCAAAAAGCATAATAGGGCCTCCTTAATTATTATATTTGAAATGATAAAAAAAAACAGCAGCATACTGACCTCTTTGGGCTCTTGATAAGGCTTTTGCCTAATAGCAGCGAGTTAAGGAGACAATTCTGTTAAATGAAAGACAAGATAAACAGGTGCTTGTGCCATTATGTATAGTCTTCTGTTTGAACTTATTGATGTGAGGGCGAGAAACCCTCATGGCATCTATTGAAATGACATTAAAAGTTAGTCGAAGGATACATTGCCATTTCCATTGGAGAGGAGTAATGTCTGGCACCTTCCCCTGCAAAGACTTCAAACACAAATACAGTAAAAAAGAATACTCAGCTGAACAAGTACATAACCTTAAAGGTCCCCTGTTTTTCATCAATATATTACAGGTCTCAGATATACAGTATACAGAACATGGGGGGGTTACCTTGGTTGGTGATTGGCTAATGGTTACACAAGCCAATCGTTATGACATCATAAAGTGGCCAAAATCTGATCAGCTCATTTTCAGACAGGTTTTTATATAAATGGATCAGGACAAAAAGAGAGAGAATCTTTTTTCCTGAAACTTTCAGAATCTCTTTACACAGAGGGGACACATGTTGATGTAGAAAAGACATAAAGGGATTTTGCCTAATAGGTGACCTTTAAGACACTTACCCAGGTGCACAAAATCATTGTCCTGCAGAACGTCCTCTGCTCTGTCCTCAGGGTGAAGCAGCTCTCCACACTGAAACCTCCGCAGGCTGAACTCCATGTCTCCGTCCTCCATGTCTCCTTCCTCCAGATTCTTGGCCCTCTGGTAGCGCTGCAGGGCTTCAGACCCCAGAGACCTGACGGAGGCAGAGGGGCCGCCACAGGGCACCCTGAACCACTCGCCCCGAACACAAAGAGACACGCAGCGCATCGTGCAGAGAAATAATGCAAAACACTCAACAGCTAGAAGGTGAACACACTGATCTGTTTAAGGTCAAATTAACAAGTCCTCCCAGAGCAAGTGGTCCAACCTGTTGTATACGATTCCTCTTCATCATTAACATCAGATTCTCAGCGCTCAAACATGCTGTCAATCTGTAATCCGAAATAAACCACCAAACATTACTCTTTCATCGTTAGGTCAAGACGATATAGGATCAACACGTCAAAGTCCTATTTCTCTGTGTGTGTGTGATACAGACAGAGAGGTCGAAATGCCGTTTCTCACCGTCCCTAAGAATAAGAATATATAAAAACTGTGTACAAATATGTATAGGCAAGGCAAGGCAAGTTTATTTATATAGCACCTTTCAACACAAGGCAATTCAAAGTGCTTTACAAAAATGAAAGACATTAAGCAAATGATATCTAGAAACACTCATTCAAAAGCAAAGATAATAAAAGTTACAGTGCAGTTTAAGATGTGAATAGTTCAATTAAAGGTGGGGTAGGTAAGTTTGAGAAACCAGCTCGAGATACACTTTTTGTTATATTCCATGGAATGCTCTTAACATCCCGATAGCAATGAATATCTGAAGTGCTTTGACAAAAAATCCATAAAAATTGTCATCTGTTTGAAGCCGTAATACTGTAAAAAGCACGACCAATCATTTTAGCCGGCCCGGCTAAAATAACTGGATGGCCTACCTGCCTGTCAGCCTTCCATCTGTGCACAAACTTATCTCGTGCCCTCATTGGTCATGTGCGCGTTCGTGTGTGTTGGAGGAGGGGCTCTGTAAGGAAGTGGCAGATTTTCTCCGGTTGTGTATTTTCAAATTCTAGCGATCTCGAGCCGGTTTCTCAAACTTACCTACCCTACCTTTAAAAGCAGCGGCAAAAAGGAAAGTCTTCAGCCTGGATTTAAAAGTAGTCAGAGTTGCAGCGGACCTGCAGGTAACCCAGATATTTGGAGCATAATAACTGAACGCTGCTTCTCCATGTTTAGTTCTGACTCTGGGGACAGAAAGCTGACCAGTCCCTGAAGACCTGAGAGTTCTGGATGGTTCATAATTTAGCAGGAGGTCAGAAATGTATTTTGGGCCTAAACCATTCAAAGCTTTATAAACCAGCAACAATATTTTGAAATCTATTCTTTGACACACAGGAAGCCAGTGTAAAGACTTCAGAACAGGAGTGATGTGATCCACTTTCTTAGTGTTAGTGAGGACTCGAGCAGCGACGTTCTGAATTACCTGCAACTTTCTATAGATACATACATACACACCTGAACGCCCCCCCTTAATAGAATAGATACACATACAGTACATACTCATACAGATGTAGAGACACATATACACACATTCAGAGATATAACATAAAAAAGGCGGCACAACAATACATACATAAAAATAGCAGTCTACATACATTTGGATAGGTCACAATATCAACTTCTAAACAGCTCTAATGGGCTTGTGCACTTTTTTGATAACACCTTTTTATGTTTGTCACAGTTCTGTTTGTCAGGTTGGTTCATAGCTGCTGTACAAAATGTCCCTAATGTACTCATTAACATCCCTGCAAGGCAAGGCAAGTTTGTTAGTAGAGTTCTGGATCATTCATTATGTAGCAGGAGATCAGAATAAACCAGCAGCAGTGTTTTGAAACCAAGTCTTTGACAGACAGACAGGAAGCCAGTGTAAAGACCTCAGAACTGGACTGATGGGATCCACTTTCTTAGTGTTAGTGCACTACAAAAACTCGAAATCTTGCCAAGTATATTTGTCTAATATCTAGTCAGAATATGTCTCTACTCCTGATATAAGACATAATAACTTCAGAAGTAACACTGCAGTGAGATATCGGGTCTTGTTTTTAGACAATGCATCATCTTGTTAAGTAAAAAAAATCTTATTTTGAGTTGTATCTCAGATGAAACACATTTTTTTTTATATATTTATTAGAAAATCGCCAACTAACATCAGAAAACTGAAAACTTTTGAGTATTTGCGGCTTCCATTGTAACAACATTTCCTGATTCTGGTCAAATATAGTCCAAAATGTGTTCTCCCAGCTAATTACAAGATCTGATTTATCTAAATATCCCATCTCATTTCAAGGAATCTAACCAAGCAAATTCACTTGTTCTATTGGCAGATTGTTGTACTTATTTCAAGTGAAAGCATGCTTGTTTTCATTATTGTTTAACTTGTGTTTGGAGCAGCATTTTTTCCAGTGTGAGGACTCGAGCAGCAGCGTTCTGAATATGCTGCAGCCTTCGAATCGATTCTTTAGTGAGACCTGTAAAGACACCATTACAGTAGTCGAGTCCACTGAAGATAAACGCATGGACAAGTCTTTCCAAATCCTGCTGTTACATTAGAGGGTCTTAATATGCTCAATATGGGCCTAATAAGGCATTCTCTCATAATAACACCTGACAAATATGGTCTATTCTTATGTAACAAGACATGAAACTACAAGTGTTAATTGTGTCAAAATAACTAAAAATGTGGTATTTCAAACTCAGAATAAGTTCACTATTTTAAAGTGAAGTCTTGGTCATAACCAATAAGAAGTTATGTTTGACTCTAACCTGTTAATGAACAACTATAGTTGATGGTGAATATGTGTACCTTAATCTAAAGTGTTACCCAAAATAGAAATAAAACAGCATTAAAAAGTAGAAAATATACAGTTGACCGGGAAGAAAAAGCATGGTAGCACGTAGATGGAGTACACACCATTCTTGATAAGCTAAATAGCTCAATGTACACGTAATGTAAATGTAAAATGGCACATTTCCTGAGGGCGGCCCCACCTCAGGGCCCCTGGGCTGCAAATAGTCTCCGTCAGGCTGACGCCCACGTGGCTCATTTCCTCCGATAGAACCTCAGACCTTTTCCCCGGGAAGCTCCTTTTTCTCCTCCCGCCGGTTTCCTGAGCCACCCCCTCACTCTGTAAATAAAAAGCACACTTCAGTGTGTGTCCGACATCCCCTGGACGGACGAAAACGCACAAACTCACAACTGACAGCACATCGATCTTCTGTCTGAGCGACTCCCAACAAAGACATGTACACAAAACCCAGCCTCCACCCTTTCCTTTTCCTCCGTTTCTACAGTTTGTCTGTTCATCCTCCACATCCACCCACACTATTAATAAAAGCAAACCATCTCCTTAGAGACTGAAAATCAAAGTCTAGTTCTGGGGCGTTATAATTAAATACTTAGTCTCACAATTAGATGTTAAAGTTTGTCCTGAGGGGGGCGTTAGAGGGAAGCTCAGGGTGTTCAAAAGTGGAATATATTTATACTGTAAAAATACTTACCTATTAAAAAGGAAAATCTGAATAATGAGTGAATGATTCTCCCAAAGTAAGGTTTAATGTTAGGGTTTATGAGTATGACAATTAATATGACAAGGATGTGAGTCTTGTATCTCCATCTGTAACCATAAAGATGGCAGATACGTTTTTTTGTGAAGTTTTGAAGTAAGGTTTTTTTTATAAGCAAAATGCTTTCATTCAAATGGGAAAAAATGTATTGAAAAAGCCTGGCTGGAGCTGTCCAATTACAGTATATATTGACCTTGGAAACAATCAATATACTTACTTGTTGAAGAGTAAAATCTGAATAATTGAGTATAAATACAGAATGAATGATTCTCCCCAAAATAAGGTTTAATGTTAAGGTTTACGAGTATGACACTGATTTTAGTCATATTCTCCAAACTCTAACCATACAAGTTGCAGATAAGAAGGATGAACTCTGAAATCTTGAGTAAGGTTTTCCCAAGCAAACTGGTCTTTTATTCGAATGGGAAACATTTATTTTTATTTTGAGCTGTTCCAATTGTTTCTTAACCTTGGAAACAATCTCCATTTATGTTTGACTACGAAGACGTGGCACTGATAGGGACACAGAGAAGGAAAAACTTGGGACCTGGGAAGTGCCCGAGCTTTGATGAATGCACCTGTTCAAAATGAAATATCTCATTGTCGCTGACGTTGCCAGAGGAGAGTTGGAGGAATGACTTCGGGAGATTTCTTCTAACAAAAACAGAGCCTTATTCATCAGTGGAAGTGTGTGTGTGTGGTGTGTGTGTGTGTGATGTGTGTGTGTGTGTGTGTGTGTGTGTAGTGGTGGTGTTGTGTGGTGTGTGGTGGTGTGTGTGGAGGTGTGTGTGTGTGTGTGGTGTGTGTGTGTGTCTGCTGTGGGAATCTGGCCGACAGTTTGCAGTAGTCAGTCGGAGCTGGAGGCACCTCCAGATAAGTGTGTGTTGTGTGTGTGTGTGTGTGTGTCCTATCACAGGCAGATAGAGGTGTGTGTCCGTCAGCTCGACCCCGGCTGTCACTGATTCCCTGGAGACTCCTCGGTCAGATAGCTTCCTCTTAGTGAGTCCAGGGAATGTTCCTCCATGGCGCACACAAAACACCTTCTTCCACTCCCTTCTTTAGGCTGCGTCACCTACTTCCCCCTTTAACCTTTACGCCCCCCCCATCTCCTCCCCCATCCATTCTGAAGTAAACAGAAAGAGGAGGTTTAACAACAAATCGTTTCACAGAGAGAGAGAGAGGCATTGCTAAGAGCAGAACCTTTTTGACACTCCAAAAATCTCTTTAAGAAACACACACTCACACACACACACACACACACACACAAACACACACACACAGACACACAGACACACAGACACACACACACACACACACACACACACACAACACCACACACACACACACACACACACACAAACACCACACACACACAACACACACACACACACACACAACATTGACGTGCTGTAGTTATGGCTCCAGATGCAGCTCCGCTTGGTACCAGGCTTCAGATAAGAAGGTGTGGAGTGTTCTGCGTCCCATCATTACTCTCATGTCAGGCCTCCTCCCACTCACAGTTGAGTAGGAAACAACGGAGACCATTTTCACTTCAGCCATCACACCATGACCATGATATTGAAGGAAAAAAATTATAAACAAAGCAACAAAACTGAGAGAGAAGAGGCAATGTTAGTACAACATGAGAAAAAATCTACTTAAACT